TGATATTAACTGCAGAAAAAATAAAATTAAATACCTATTACAAAAAGAATATAACAAATTAAATAATAAAATATAAAATATAAATGAACAGTGAACAGAATTAGAAGAAAATCAAAACGTGTATAAAATTTGTTTAAAATAAAAATAGAAGAAAAATATTTATATTAACAGCAAAATAGAAGAAGAAGAATAGAACGGCAATAAAAATAATATAAAAATGAATGGAGGGTGCAATAAGTTTTTCCAATTCTTTCGATCAGTTTTTGCTTGACAATTAAGCGTATTAAATTACAAACAAATACCTAAACAGTCTCTAAATAAAAAAATTACTTTAAACAGAAATGTAGGAGTAAAAATTTTAAGAAATTTATCTCACATTTCCAAATTTCGACTTGTTAAGGTTTTCAATCGAAAAGTCCAACTTTTAAGCTCTAAACTATAACTTTAAAACAAAGAGTTCAGAAGTTATGACTTCTAAGCTCAAATATGTAACAAGTGAAGAAAAAAAAGCGATTTTGTGAGCGAAATTTTGAGCTTTCATTGAATTCTAAATTTGAATAAAATTTGAACAAACTTTGGTTTATAATCAAAAATTTCAAAAATAAGACTTTTTTAGTTGAAAGTAAGCTTACCAAATTCAAATTGTCAATCTTTAAACTTAAAAATCAATTTCAGTTACAACTTTGAAACTTATTGTAATTCTAAAAACAGTTTACAACTTGTACTTTCAGGATAAAAATTATGATTTCTAGGCTCAAAAATATAACAAGTAGGTCAAAAAATTAACTGTAAGCAAATTTTTGAGCTTTTATAGAATTTTAAATTTGAAAAAGTGATGAAAATTTAAATAAATTTCAAAAATACGACTTGTAGTTATAAAAATTGACTTTCCATCCACATTCAAATTGTTAACCTTTGAAATTAAAAATGTGATTTTTTAACGCAGAACTTTAAATTTTAAACTTGCAAACCGAGTCAAAATATTAAATAAATTAATAAAAATTTCTAATGCTTTGCATTTTGAGTGTCACAATCTTCTCTTATTACCGCCGTTGAGTTTTTCCAATTCTTTGTACTAATAGTAGAAAAAAATCTAGTAAAAAACATAAATAGAAAAAAAAATAAACGGCTACAGCATTTGATTAAAACAAAAATAGAAAAAATTTCTAAATCGAGATTTGGATAAATAAATTTCGATTATTTGTGATTTAATTGATAAGAAATTAAAATTGTAAAAAGTATAATAAAGCATTTAAGTTTTTCGCAAATTTTATTTCACATGGCGCCAAAATCAAAATTTTGACGCACTGAATATTGTGTTACTTGATTTTTAGTAGATATTCAGTACATCTGTCTTTTTTAAATTTCCAAATTATTTTTTTTATTTTGTTCGATAGTTTTGAAAAAACAGACTTTAGTTGTCTGAAATCGAGATCTTTAAAGTAGAAACTCCCAAATTCAGTCTTAATTAAATTAGCCCATTTTGATTCGTCTTATGCTAATTTCACGGTTCGTTTATGAGCGTCTTCGACAAGCGATAAACCCCGAGTCGTCTCTTTCAAACCGTCTGGAGACGTTTCTCGCGTGATGCGACGGCTATAAGAGCCGTTCGACGGCCATAAAGATTGATGATGAACCGATTCTTTATTTTCTGTCTATACACTAGCTTGAGGGATCGCAAATTTCTCTCCGATTTTCCTCTTTTGATATTCAAGTCCGAGTTTCGCATCAGTCAAAGTCAGCATTTGGGATTTCTCTCTCAGTCATCGCAACTTTACGATAGATAATAACCACTTACCGTTCTGTTGGCTAAATTCTTCACTCTGCAGTTCAAGTAGGCGGTTTTGCCGAGGAGAGCGGTGACGTTCTTGGAGGCGGCCGTGTCGAAATGGGGGCCGCGGGAGGACGACGAGTCCGAGACGGTGTTGCCGGAGCCGCCCCCAGATTGCACGGCACACATCACTGCAAAAATTAAGCAAAATGAAGCATTTTGGGGGAATTTCGGTTGCGGGGTTGGCAGCATTTAAACACCCGTTTGAGTGCTAAAATATCAAATTATTACACAAAAAAAAAACAACTCGATAAAATTATTATTTAAATTTTGTCACAATTACATTTCTTTTTAATAAAATGAGCCCAAAATAAAAAAAATACATTTTGTGTATCTTCTGTTTATTTTGTTTTTTCTTTACACGCCTATTATTGAATTAACATTTTTGTAAATTAGGTTTTTATATAATAAAATTAGTCAAGCTACAATTTTTCCAAACTAGTCTGTAAAGAGGTACTTTTGAAATTAAAAA